CTGCTAAAGACATTAACTGAGTCTAATCATGTGGAGATATCAGACAAACTCAAATTCATAGACATTCAATTGACCTCAACTCTTAAAAGATTTTTGGTGTTAAAGATCATGAAAGATAAGAATAGTTCCAGATCGAAAGAGACTAAAAATATATTACAATTAAATGCAATATGTGATTCTAGGTTGGATCATGGTATAGGAAAATAAAATAGCTATAAAGAATATTAATGGGATAATTGATAGGATTTGAATGAGCCTATATTTGATAACACTATATCAACATTAAATTTCTGAAATTATTTTTATACCATGGTCATGTAGGTTAATATTCTTGTTAGGAAATACACATTGATGTATTTGGGAGTATAGAATTATTGTGTCTTCAACTTGTTCTCAAATGCTTCATCAATAATAATAACAAGGATTAGAAAAATAAAGCAAATATTGAAAAACAATGATTGTTGGCTTTGAGTAGTTTATATGAGAGCACAATTTTTATAACTTTTAAATTTGATGGTTCTTTTAAATTAACATTTTAAATAAATAAATAAAATGAATTTTCAAATAGCTGTTTCTCAATTAAGAACAACAGCCAAAATGAAAAAGCGAAGAATTTTTTTTTTGCTTTGGACTCCTAGAACTGAGTGGAGTCTTTGGATTCTTGAGAGACTTTGAAATGTCCCAAAGACTATAACTTTGGGTGGTCTAGGAGCTCAGAAAGTAAGACCAGAATATAACCTATGTAGTAAGTGGGCAAAAAATAAATAAATAAATAAATAAATAAATAAAAATCTGTATTTGTGATGGTAAAGGAAGGAGGTCAGTATTTCTGCAGCCCTATTTCTGCTCCTTCTCTCCAATTTGCCTCAGAAGGCTATGAATATTCTATTGCAATCTCAGCAACATTGGAAGATGCACATACAGTAATATTAGTAAGGGCTTTTGATGACCACAGTAATTTCCTAGGGAGAAAAACATGTCCCAGAATTTACCTCGAAACTGGGGTGAGCAACTTCTTTAGTCCAGAATGCCACCTGCAAAACTATATATTAGAATCACTGACAGGTCATTATGGTCTGGAATACCTCAAGAAAGAAGACAAAGAAAGAAGGGAAGTCTTTGAAGAAAAGGGAAGGAGGGAGAAGAAAATGAGAGAAAAACCAGCGGTGCCTGTGACATGGAATAAGCATGTGTCCCCAGCCAGCACTACCTCAGCTACTCTCAAAGACACTCGTAAGTGTCACTGCTTCTGCTTTTACTGCTTCCACAAACTCTGGCCAGGAAGATCCCCTGAAGTACAGGACCAGGCTACTTCATTAAGGAGATCTTTAATTTTTTTCCCCAAGTCAAAGAAATTTGAACTAATCTGGACAAGGATTCAGTACTCATTTGAATTTTTATAATTCTTTGTTTTAGTTTTCCAACACTTGTCTCATGACTCCCTTTATTTTAATTTTTATACATGATTTATCTCCCTTACTAGATTGTAAATCTGGTATAGGCTGAGTATAGAACATTTTTATATTCCTCACAAAGTACAGTAAAATGACTAAAAATCCATGCTCAATAAATATTTGTTGATGGAATGACATTTAAAAA